CAGTAATTGCCACTTGGGTTTAAATATCAAGTGTGTCAAGCCATCTTTTGGGGCGTGTAGCAGAATTAGCACTTCATTGTGTTCTGATGACAGATCTCCTGTGATTGCCCTAGTAATTCAAATTTTTATTCTGTTTCATAATCATTAAAGACCTATTCAAGGATCTATAAGATCTTAGAGCTATTATGTGAACTGCACAGGTGAAATTTTAGCATGAAGAAAATTGACATTTTAAATTATTTAATAAGATAAAAATCCCATTAGATTTTAATTGTTAAAGTCTGTTGTAGCCATGAATTTGTCATCTCAATATCAGAAATTTCATTTGTAGAAAATAAGTCAAATGACTTAGTAAAGGAATGGAAACATGACTTTAAGCATCCACGAAGCACTAAATTAAACTCTTAGGTAGGTATAGTCCCAACTCATATGCCTTTAAAGCCTGGATGTTAGCATTCCTGAGTTGGTGATCTGTTGGCCAACATTCAGCATGTACCCCTACCAGAACCAAACATACAAAAATGTGCTGTAGAGCACAAACACATGGACAGCTACATCCTCTTTTCAGCTTGAAACCTCCCTCTGAAGAAGCATCATTGCAGTCAGATCACCTCAAAGAGTGGAAACTACCCATGCTCTCTGTTCTTACCACTACCTAACAAGTATCATGGAGCCAGAACCTCATCTGGCAAGAGGTTGTTGGGTGTCCTTCCAACTTTAATTGGTTGGATCAATTAAATCTTGAAATACAAAGTTAATGCTCAGATCACTCATACAAGCAGCTAAGTCTAGATTGTCTTTTTAAAATCTGACCAATAGAGGTGCACCTATTGAGAAGGTGGCTCAGTTGGTTAGGCATCCAACTTCGATTCCGGTCATGATTTCATGATTTGTGGATTCGACCCCTGCGTCAGGCTCTGTGCTGACAGCTCAGAGCCTGGAGCCTGCTTCGGATTCTGTGTCTCCCTCCCTCTCCCTCCGTCCCCTCCCCCTGAAATAAATAAACATTAAAAAAATTTGAAAAAAATAAAATCTGACCGATAAAATAGTGCTAAAGTGATATCCAGGATACTCAAACTAGAACTTTCAAACTGTAGTTGTTATAATATTGGTTAGGTGCTTTTTGCTTTGGCTAAATTCTGCTTTTGAGCTCCAGCTTTGGTAATCAAAATATATAATCTGTTTCATAGTTTGTTTTTTAAATAAGCATATAATCTTTTCAACCTTATAATTAAATTCATAATTCAAATTCAAAGGTTTTTAATTTATCTAGCTAAAAAGAACTCTGGCTAGCAGACCCCAGATTTTTCCCTTTTAAAACAGGACTCTTTGGTAGCTTCTGCTAAGTTTTCAGTCCCTTAGACCACAAAGAGTAGCTCCAGATAATTCTTGGTGACTAGGTTGGCTACCATGTCCACATATCTCGCACCCAACACTCCCATCACTGCCCGTACACATCTGTTCATTCGTACCACAAAATGCATACATGTAATACACATGTGCACAACTATATTGTAGCTCCAGAGCTACAAAAAGTTAAGATAGGGATCTTGTATTCCACAATTCACAATTATTCTAAATATATGATGCCCAAAGTACTTAAGCCAGGTGTTCTTTCTTGAAGCCGTTAGCATCCAAAGGGGACTGTTGAACCTGTGATTTCAAAGACTATCCCTGAAGCATCCATTTCCTCTGTTCGAAAAGTAATTTTTTTTAATGTACTGTATGTTGTGGAGGAACACAAAATATTTGTCTAATATGTATATATATTGTTAGATATTAAATTGTAAAAAGGTGAATTCTACTTTTAATTTAAGCAGAGAAAGAACTTTTCCCCCTGTTTCTATAATGTTCAGAATTTGGTCTATATTTTTTGTATCTCTAAAAATATATCTGACGCTCTTAAATATCTGGCTTACGTACTTTGGGCATCATATATTTAGAATGATTGTGAATTGTGGAATACAAGATCCCTGTCTTAACTTTTTGTAGCTCTGGAGCTACAATATAGTTGTACATACATGTGTGTTACACGTATCTAGATCAGTATAGTCAGCTAATGTCTAAATGCCTATAAGTGCAAATAAGGATTGTACAAAGGGCATTATTATTGTTATTTAGCTCTAGAATAAAGGTCTTCTACTTTGAAGTGGGATTCTCTCTTTGAGATTAGGGTCTTTGGTATTTTGTTGCTGTTGTTACAGTTTATTGATTCATCAGAGACAGCCACCAAAGGTTCTTTAGCATTTTATGAAGACTCTTTCTTTCTCTTTCTTTCTTTCTTTCTTTCTTTCTTTCTTTCTTTCTTTCTTTCTTTCTTTCTCTCTCTCTCTCTTTCTCTTTCTTTCTTTCTTTCTTTCTTTCTTTCTTTCTTTCTTTTTCTTTCTTTCTTTCTTTCAAGTTTATTTACCCACTTAGAGCACAAGTGAGGAGGGAGAGAGAGAAGGACAGACAGAATCCCAAGCAGACTCTGCACTATTAGTGCAGAGCTCAACATGGGGCTCAAACTCACAAACTATGAAATCATGACCTGAGCTGAGATCAAGAGATGCTTAACTGACTGAGCCACCCAGGCACCCTTGTGAAGACTATTTCTGATAATCATCTTAAAGGCTTAAAAGCCTCATTGAAGCATTTTTACTTAAATTGTGTTTTCTGTCTGCACTTCTGTAGTTGACTTAAATTGTCAAGCAAAACCAAAAAGATTCCTAGTTGCTTTATTACATAGGCCATGATTTCTGACCTCAGTTATCACTGATGGAAGCTCACAAACCTCTGCCATCAAGGGGTTAAATTCTTCCATTAAATATGTTTATGAGGGGCCACAGCCATGCTGCCTATACTGTCTTGTCTTTTTTTTTTTTTTTTTACTTTCTAGTTCACTAATCAAATGTATGTTAGATTGATTATTGTAAAAGTATAAACCATAGAAAATTTGACAAGATAGATGTGTAAATTATCCTTCTGACAGAACTAATGATGCACTCCAAGCACCTTCTGTTTTCCAGCGCTTGGTGAGCAACTTCATTAAATATGCAATGGCTGTTGGGTGGCTTCTCAGCGGATGGTTCAGTTCCTTGTGGAATTGCATTATTACTAGAGGTGTAAAACCAGGCAGACAAGCTAGCTGTTGGGCATCCTGCTGAGGTTCTAATGTGCTCCATCTTGTTGGAGCAGTTGTTTGCAGTCTTTTCAGGACAATTACATCCATAACAACAGGACACATTCAGTGAAACTATATTACAGATAACAGTGGAGACTAGCATTGACTGCTCTTCACCCCTGTCTCTTGAGCTACCTCATTGTGGGTAGCTAGTAATAATGCCACTTCTGTCACTCAGAGAGTAGTTGCTTTTTTTTTTTTTTTTAACCCGTTGGAGCAGATCTGGAAATAACTGATTTGCAGCTTTTTTGAGTGCTTAAAATCATAGGCTATTTGAGGTGAAAGACTTCATAGACTCCAGTCCCTTTGAAGATGAGAAAACCAAGGCTAGAGCATTGTGGTGAGTTGTCCTTTTGAGAGACAGGAGGAGGACCAGGTAGAACATCTTGTAGGTAGTAGAGATTGCATGAGTAAGAATTTGTTCTGGTTGGCTTCCAGTTTGAGCGCTCTTTTAAACGTTACTTTCTTTTTGAATTTAAGATTTTTTTCTTCTGTACATCATTCCCCCCCACCAATATTAACACAGCAAACTTTTTTATTTCTAGAAGCCAAGCAGAAATATCTTGCTTTCTAAGGATTTCATGCTATAATTTTAATGACAATTTGATGGCTTCCTGGAGAACTGGACACAAAAGATGATTTGAGTTGAGCCTGAAATGGTATTTAACGTTCCAGATGGCAGGTGCTACAGTGTATCACTGCAGCCTGATAAATGGCAGTGCGTTTTAGAATGACAGGCAGAATACTTTAATGAAAGAAGGTTTCCCATTTCGGTTGTCCAATTAAATCACTGTTGATGACTTTGGATCATTAATGAACATTTGTGGAAAATGACCACTTGAATTCAATTATTACAATATGTTTGAAAAGTAGTAGCCACAAAGAATCCTATCTGTAAATTAAAAGATTTATCCATTTTGCCACAGATAAATTAGCACATTGCTTTGCATAGTGCCAAAGCAGGTTAACATTTCACTTTTTTTTTTTTTTTTTTACAGGTTAAGTACATATCCTTTCTTATGAAAGTTCTACTTAGAAAAGTTTGTTTTTTATTGGGTGCCTTTTAAAATATAATTTATGCTATGGACCAATATATTCTCAATAAAATATTAATTTATTCTCAATAAATTAGCAAGAGCTAGGAACAACGAAGAAGAACATTATACAGTGTATAAAAGTATAAGATTAAGTTTAAGATGGATTAGGTGTTTGATTTATTTAGTGCCTAGGAAGAATCTCTAATTCTGGAAAAATAATAGGAAGAATTATTTGGGAACATGCAAATTTATTTAAAAGTAATATGAAAGTAAAATGCAAATAAAAGTTTTATAACCAGATTTTTTTCTTAAACCCATTAAAGGTTCAGATTTTCTTAATTATTTTAAGCTTTAAAATATTTTGTGGATGTATATCCTGCCATTTTTGCTATAGTATACCCAACAAATTCATCTGAATATGTTTTTCTTTAGTTAACTTCATTTTCTCTGAAACTTTGGCATGTTTTGGTAGTTCAGACAGGGGGTGGGTTCTTTTCAAATGCATGTTTTTCTCATTTTGTTATTTGTAAAATGGGCTGCAATCTCAACCCAAGCTTCCTTCATCTCCATTTCATAGTTTCTAGAGAAAGGAGACACTGGAGCACAGGCTTCCCCTGGGAATACATTGGGCTTAATGAGCTTGATAGTCTGGTGGGCTCAATAAATCAAATAAAGCAAAACATTTCTCATTTTTGAATAAAAGCATTTATCACACAGTGTTTGTTCATTCATGGTCACAAGATTGATTGGTTCCCAGCATCATAGTGTATATTGAAGCATTTTTTATTTTGTTTTTCCAGTGGGCAAGTTACGGAAGCAGTGGCTAAAGGAAAGTATCTCTGATGTCGGCTTTGGGATGCTGAAGTCTGTCAAGGAATATGTGGACCCCAATAACATCTTTGGAAACAAAAACCTTTTATAAATCCATTACTGTTGTTACAAAAAAAATGTCACTTTTTTTTTATTTTTAAGTCTTCAACTATGGTTATACCAGTAATCAAATATATCATGGATTGTATTTCAGCAAAATTTTTTTGTTGGTTTTAAATAAGTTGTTTCTGTTTTGTTTTGTTTCTACATCTATGGATTGACAGATGGTATTCCTAAATCTCTCTCATTGTAGGTGCATCAGTTTACAGCCAACTGGTTGTCATTTCAAATTTTAGTCAGGTGGCACAGGGCTGCTAGTTGTTATTTCAGAGGAAGATGCTGCCAGCTGTTTCGTGTTGATGCTTCCCCTTGGGAACAAAGGGAGATTTTGGTGTCATCCACTGCTTATCTAGCCTCCCTTTTAAGGACGTTTCTGGAAAGCAGTTATCTGGGGAAGGATGCCACTGAGGAGTGATAACACATGTATGTTTTTTAAGAGTGCATTCTAGTGTGAGTAGGTCATTAAGAAGAATACTAATGAAAGAATATAGGCGACCTGTTATTTAGGATGCCTCAGTTCGGTGAGATGCTTGGCCTACATTTTTCTTTGAAATTAGTATACGTTTATAAAACCTGAGATGAGCAAAAAGTTATTGTTAGGGGACATGTTTCTATTCTCCACGTTTCTGTTTCTACTGGGGTATGAGTTGAATGTGTATCACCGAGATAGATAACTTCTTGTTATATCCTAGTTCCTTCGTAGTATGTTTTGTAAGAAAGCTGACTTATCACTCATTGTATGTGAACAGCAGGTTTACCATGAAACGAATGCCTTTATTTAGCTTAGAATCCTAATGTTTCTGATTTCACATTCTTGTTGCTGAGATGCAGAAGAAACTGCAACCGGAGTAGAAGAAGGAAGACTCCTTACACTTAATGTCTCCAGTTTGAAGAATTGTTTGACTAATGAAACACACTTACCATTTAGCTGTTGAATTTGAAAACCTCAAGAGATTCAATGACAATTTTTTTTTTAATTAACCCAAACAACCTGATAAATTGTCATATAAAAGTAAAGTTTCAATTTAGTTTTTAATAGTGGTTTAATGCCTTTTTTGAATTACTGGTTTAACCTAAATTTTGAAAATATGTAATGTATTAATACACAAACCATAATCAAAAGTTTGAAATATCATATTTCTTAAGTAATAGGGAGAACATTAATCACATTTCACAAACATTTTTACATTCAAGCCTGGATGTTACAAGAAGTGAAATGATTACTTTGAATCACTGTCTGTCAAGGTTCATGATTCACATTTCGGGATGGATTCTTTTCTTAATGCAATACCTAACTTTTGATAATTTTTTTAAATTAATATTTGATCAGATAATGTACGTCAAGATGAAGACGATCCTTTAAATGGACACACTGTCTGTCTATGTAGCAACAGCTCCAAAGTATTTTGGGGCAGTTTGATACCTTTTATATCTGAAGTATACTTAACCAGAAAAGTAAAAATTTAAATTGACAAAATAGTATTTTTAAGACTTCAAAATGATAAGCAATTTTTAATAAAATTGGCCTCAAACTAATAAACTTAAAATCTGTAAGCAAATCAAAATTAAATACTAGTTTAACAACAAAAACTAAATATTTGTTAGAAGCTGCCTCTCTTCATTGGTGATTTATTTTTAGTTATAAAAATTCCAGCAAATCTTAGCATTAAAAGCCCTTGATATTTGAAATAGTTGGATGCTTGATGAGGAAATTACACTTGCCTCTAGAATTATAAAAAAAAATATCAGCTTTATAAAATGGATCTATTCATGAAGGTAATTTCTCTAACTGGTGATCAAAATGTAAAATTTAATACAGTACTAATATCTCACTGGAGTGTATACTTGTTTCTGAGTAATTTTTTTTAAATAAAATTTACAGATTCATAAGCAGATCCATTCCTTTGCAAGTGATTGTTATAACATTCTTTCCCAGGGAGTTCAGATTTCAACAACCTCAGAAATCTGTATTTGGTATTAGGAAACTATAAATGTCACAGCTGAAAGTTGTGTTCACTGTTCTACATGAACCTTACGGAAATTAGTGATTTATGTCTTTGTTTTTCTTCTTCCATGTATGCAGAACTCCCCAATCTTGATTTTATAGTGATGACTACATTCTGTTGTTGGAATCATTTCTACAGGGATCATTTTGAAACACACAAACACTCACCAGTGCTGTTTCCCTCTGATTTAGTAAACCAGAAGGCCTTTTCCCCACTTCTCACACCTGCTTCTGAGAGGTACCTCGGCATGTACTTAGTTTCCGTGGAGAACTGAGTTCTTGAATATGCACAGAAGCACTTAAACCTTGCCTCGTATTTCTGAAATATCTGAAAATGGCTTCATAAAAGTTAAAGCCTGGAGAACATTGTTTATGTGAGGCTTTTAAACTCATTTTGAATAAGTTTGTTTAAAATTTTAAAAGCTCATATCCTATCTGGTTTTTAGTACTGCATAAACGTTGACTTGTCTTTCTTAAATCAGTCATATTTCTAATAATTCGTTGATGTCACATTTGGGTTGAGGTTTTAGTGGGACTAGGAACTTGCTGCTAGTGAGAAGTGGCATTGCATACTAAAGACTCAGTATGAACAGGCTTTATTGACCCTTAGAGAAACTGTTGCCTTAATGTGTGGTGCACAAGTACAGGCATAAGTGAATTTTGTCTTATAATGAGTAACTTGAGCTTTTTTAGTTTCATAAGAATTGTAGAAGCCACATGTTTATTGTGCCCAGCATTTTACCACAGAGAAAGAGGATTGAATTCTTTCCTCTTCGGAGGAATTGGGAGTTTGCTTCCTAACTGCTTACAGATTACACTATTACTTAAGAGTTATTTATGAAGCTGGAAGCTTTCTAGTGCACATAGTTGTGTTGACGTATTTTGGAAAACAAAAGTGCAATAAAGGATGAGCTTCCATCAGTATGTGTACTGTGTCAGATACAGATGGTTGCAAGGAAACCTGTGTTTCAGAGTATTTCCTTAGTAACTGCTAAGTCCTAGCTTGCATTTTTGAAAATGCCTTTCTGCATGTTGGCTCCAGAGATATTTTTTCGTCATTTTCTTTCATAGCTACAACTTCTTAACCATAGCTAATCAAAGAAGTCCTGTAGTCTCAAGCTGAAGTGTGTAACCTCAGCTGTTAAAAATGGGACTGGGTTTGGTTGAACATCTATTCTAAATGTAGAAACACAAATAGTTATTTATTATGGATTGATTCACAAACTGCATGTGCTTGGTATGTGAAGCAGCCAAAATGGAATGCTGTGGAAAGTGTTCTCTACATTTTAAGAAATACTGAGATGGGCATTAAGGACAGCTTTAATAGCTTTTCATTTACCACTTGATCTTTGGTAACTTTGATTTTAATTACGGCTTAGCTCATGGTGGGAGAAAAGCTGAAAACAAGTGCCAGTTTCAGATTGAAGAATACAGAATCACCGTTGGCTTTACAAGTTAGGGAAGCGAGGCTTTGCTCAAGGCTCCAAATGAGCCATATGTCAATATATTCATTGAATTCTTATTAATTTCAGTGTCCTGAATTAATGTATACATTGATGCTAAAATTCAGAAAATGTAAGTCTTTTTCTTAACTATTGAATAGGGTGTCTACTATGAAGGATGTAAGTTACTCGGCTTTCTGCTTCCTAAGCCACAGTGTTTGTCTTTAGCTTGGAATTTGTAAAAACTACTTGTAACGTCAACAGGTTATATTAACGTATATTATTAATAAAATGCACCCGGGTCTAAGAGATTTTGTTTTCTTCAAAGGGAGTGGGAAGCTCACTGTTCTGTTTGCATATGGGTTTTTCTTTCAATTTTCATTTTTCATCTTCATATTTCTGATTTGAAAACAAAATTTTTATAATTTTATTGATGAAGCATAATCAAGTCCCTTTAGAGTATATTGTTAGCTAGGTTTTATCACTCTAATTATTTTTTAAATCAGTGTTCTATTTCTTGGAGGTGTTTAGTCTCCTGTGAACCTGAAGCATTCCAGTTTGAACCTAGAAAGCTCCTCAGAGAATGAGCACTGTGCTCTTCTGACCACAATAATTCCTTAACAAACGTCAATGAGGACCACTGACAGATGGAACACTCAAGCCAAAGAACATCACAGAATGAAAGTAACTTTAGTTCAGTGAACATAAAAAGATTTCTTCTTTGGTTCCCAAAGGAGATTGTCTTACACGTTTTTTTTTTCACAAGGAAGAAAATAATATATTAAGCATCATTAAGAACATTTTTCAGAGACTGAACTTCCAAATCTAAGAGGGAAAGAGGAAAGAGAAGGGAAGAAAATGCTTTAGTGTGGATTTCTAAGCAGCATGCATACCTGTTTTTCAGGCATCTTATTGTTAGCAGTGTTTTTCATGAACATGAGCACCCTTGAAAACATGCTGTTTAATCCTTAAGGTAACCTTGTTCACATATCCATGAAGGACATGAAATTCTTCTACTGGTATATGGTTTCTATAATTATTTTTTGGGCTACTTAAAGAATATCCCCAAAAGTTCACAGTGCCTTGTTGGGATTTTTTTTTTTTTTTTCCGTGAAATAGCCATTATTTAAAATGGGTGGGAGAGGATAAGTGTTTAAAGACTGAGATTGTTTAGTAGTTCAGGGCTGTTCCTCTTCAAGAATATGTCAGGAATTAAGTAGTTACATGTAGAAACACTGAAAATCCTTTCCACAGTGTGGGTTTGGATCACCTATTCTAGTATGTTTCACTAGTTATATGGTGAACCTGTACTCTCATATATCTGTTCAGTCAATGGGATTTATATGTACTTTCATTCTTAGATTTTCATTCCTACTGTCCCAACTTCGTAGCCCTAAGATGTGGCTTAGTGGATGTGGCATACTCACTCAGTCCCTGAGACACCCACTATATGCTTCTGGATGTTTGCTCACACAGCTCCTGTGGAGCAGAGCCTGTGGGGGGAGGGGGGGTTCTATTCCTTATGTTGTGTGTCAGTCCTTTTTTCTGTGATGGTGCCTTCAGAAAAATGAGTATCTCTGTTCCTGGACAATGATAAATCTTATGAGAAATATGTGTAGATTATATTTCTTAATTTTTGTCCTTTTTAGCTAAGCCTGTGGAATACTTTGGCTCTGATACAACTTGACTTGAATAATATCTTATCCTGAGTCTTCCTCCAAGGCAGTACATATTCCTGCCAGTACTGTAGTAATCTTTTGGGAACTACATGTGGGTAAGCTCTTGTATGTAAGCCATTATACTGCTGTAACTAATGCATACAAACAGTTCTTCTCTTTACATTTATGGTTTAAACATTGGTATGTAGTGGAAAGGGAAATTCCTGAGAGATCTCAACATAGTTTTGTCAGTTCAGACTGAGCCATGTTGTTTTCCACAAGAGCTCAACACACGGTCTATATACTGTGCTTTTGGTGTATGTTTGGATTCTCCTTTTATTGCTTTTCCTAGACTGTACTGTTCTATAAGCAAATGCCCATGTGTGATTTTTAAGACGTGCTGGGAAGAAATAAAACAATACCAAAACCACTCATTGTTAACAGAAATTGTTGCTTATTTCATGTTAATTCCATGTAACCTTTGTTGGCAGCATCATGCTATACTGACAGAGAATGGATAGAATATAATCTGTACCCATGAGTAGCCTCTGTTAGTGAAGGACATGTGCACAGATACTGGTTTTGTCCCTGCCTGTGGCTCCTACGCTAGAGGGCGGGTTGTAGTTTTCTGGGCTCTGAAATGACTGAACTTTGTGTTGAACCTAGTCTTACTTGGTACATTGAAATAATCACTTGTGTCACTAAGATTTTGGCTCTTACAGTAATTAATTAAAGAAATTTTCTTCCTGGCTCATATAAACTTGGACTGAAAAAAACTTAGAAATCATCTCATCTTATCTTTTCCCAAACATAATTGACTACTTTCTCCTATCCCCCAGGCCACAGATAACTAGTCTTCCTGAACATTTGTTGTGACCAAATGGGAGTGTATTGCTTATCTGGGAAGGCTTTTCCAACTTGAAATCTTAAG